TTGTTCGTAACTATGTTACTACAAACTCAATTCCATTTGTATGATATTTTTCGTTAAAAATATAATATGTTCTATCGTTTCTATCCAAAAGATGTGATTGGTGGTTTGATACATAATATTGTAGATTTTTTTTTATAAAAGAAAATAGCTCATGATAACTCTATGTAACATTGAGTGATTTTTGTTAGGATCGAATCCACACGCACTTGATGAATGAAGAACACAAGAACTTTCGAGAGAGGAGATGAGAGATCTAGAGAGAGAAAGAGAGAAACCAATAGTTCGTGATAACACCTCGTGGGTAAACTTCCACGGCGGTGAGGTATATATTTATAATTCAGAGTATGAACAGTTACAGAGAATAAATGGAGAATGAACCGCGTGAACATTAATATATGACAGTACATCAAATATTAATCATGCTTCACAACCTAATAATTTTGACCACCTTGAGGTGTGGTAGAATGATGGATCCTTTACAGCCTTAAACAACAGTCTCGAATTTGAGTCTTAGAAGTAAAGAAAGTTTATATGATACAAATCGAAATTAATCGAGTCAGTAAAATTGCTTGAAGATAAGGTGAGTGCAAGTGTCTTTATGAATGAATAGAACTTATTCTCATTTGAGAAATCAAAAGACCAAAGTCAAAGAAAATAAAGTAACTTTGCCACAGATGCTTTAGTTCTCCATTACTATTTGCTATGGATATAACTTAGCAAGTAACATCATCTATTATTTTTTTAGTTTACTTCGATATTATTTTATTAATTATAAGTGACGAATGAATAGGTTAAGTTGAATTTGGGGAATAAATATACTGAGTTACTAAGAGCCTGTTTGGCTCAGCTTAAAAGCTGGGTTTTTGACTTATTTAGCTGTTTGACAATACTCAAAATAACTTATTTTAAGTTAAAAAACTTATTTTAATCCAAAAGTTAAAAGCTGGGATAAGTGTATTTTTTCTTTTTTAGCTTATAAGTTGTTTTAAGTTGACCACATTTTTATCTTTTTGCCCTTAATATTTTTATACAATCTCCAAATTATCCACATAACCCTAACATCTCTTTCTTTCATTTTTCCCTTTTCACGTTTGCCATAGCAACTTCAGCACTTTATCCAAACGCATAACTGCTTATTTTAAAAATAAGTTTCAGCACTTTCAAAAATATTTTTTTAAAGCTGCTTTTGTTAAGCCCATCCAAACGGGTCCTAAATTAGCACGTCAATAATAAGTCCAAAGACTAGTTATAATCTTTAAATAAAAGCTGAAAAGTAGAAGCATATTTCTTTTTAAAGCTAAGTTATAATCTTATAAGTTTGGTTAAGTTTTATTTTTAAAATTATTTTTAATTTTTAAAATTTCTTATTTTATTTTGATGTTTATATGTTGTTATTATTTTATATTTTATGTATTGTACATTATTTTACGTATTATTATGCGGAATTAACAAAAAAAAAGTAACAATAATATTTTTACAAGATTAGAAGAAAGAAAGAAAAATTCACCTTCCCAAAAAGGTACAATATTAATCAAAATTTTAAATATGTACATTTTAAGTTAATAAAAATAAAATTATTATTTTTTATAACAGATCTTGTGCAATAAATAATAATATCGAATGGACAAACAATTTGAAGCATTAATAACTAATATAAGAAAATGCCATAAATAGTCTCTTAACTATAGGATTAGGTCTAAAATGGTTCTTTAATTATACACTTATCATATTTAGTTCTTCGATTATTCAAAAATTCATTAAATTTTGCCCCTTAATTATCAATTTTAATTCTTTAAGTATTTAAAAACTTATCAAGTTTGGTCTCTGTTTATTTTCTTGTACAAAATAACTTGGATTTAATTAACTGAATCTATGCCTCAAGAAATTAAATCATTTAGCCATTTTTTCTTTTGTTTCTCCCTCTCTGTTACTTCTTCTTCTTCTTCTTCAAAATAACCTTATGCATAGAACCTTAACCTCAACGATTTAAATAAAATTCACGAGGAAAAAAAATATAAGTCATAATCTTATTCAACAAAGGATAAAATGAAGCATATCATTGCTACTAATGACTTAAATATGCTAAACTTTATTATAAAAAGAAAAATATTATCACCAGTTAAATTCACAGTTTGTACTCCAACGACTTTATTAAAAAAAGCTTGTTTAACTTTTTGCAGAAATTGAAATTTATAAGAATTTATTATATTTGTAATTTTTATTTTTTTTAAAAAAAAAGATCATTTTTATTGTTCTATTCAATTTATTTTACGTAAATAAATTTTGAGTAAATTAAATAAAATCCACACTGATTAACACATTCAAGTATGGATTCAAGTCATTAACAACAATTATATATGATTAATTTTATTCTCCATTAAATAAAATTAGGGCTTGTATCTCTTACCTCATTAATTTTATTTTGATTCATTGAGGTTATTATCATTATATAAGAGTAATTTGAAGAGAAAGGACAGGGATAGAGAATCAACTTTAAAATGGTTAAAAATTTAATTTCATGAAGAGTTCCGTTAATATAAACCTAAACTATTTGTATTAAAAAATGCACGAAAATCAAAACATGATAAGTTTTTGAATATTTAAAAGACTAAAATCGGTATTTGTATAATTAAGTAACTAAATCCAATTAGTGTATAATTAAGAACCAAAATTAATAAATTTTTAAATAATTAAAAAACTAAATCCATTGAATATATAATTAAAAGACTTTTATGTCATTTTCCCAACTAATCTACAAGGACTTTTCATTCATTTCATTAATATAACGAAAAACTATTTTATTTCAAAATTTAAAACTATAATACAAGGAAAATTGCTTCCTCGCCAATAGTTCTTTTTTGACCATTTTTTTTTAAATCAAATACACATTTATACACATTTGATCGAGGAACAAGTTATTACAAGATTATTATTTTACTTTTAATATTGGATAAACATAACATTATAATTCTGAAATATATTCTACGGTTTTATTCCAACCAAATATGAAATTAATTATCCTCGTATTTAGGGGTGTATAAGAACCAACCGATCGATAAATCGATCAAAAATGTGTTATTAGTTTATTACTATTGAGTTATTCATTAACACTTCTTAATGATTTTTTTTTTAAAAAAAAATTGTGTTATCAATTTAGTATTGGCCTTTAATATTGGATTAGAGTGCAATAATTAACTACTTTTACCTACATTTTCCCATTTAGATCACAATAATTTTTAGTTACCAATTTCACATTATGCAAAACGTTAAAATCTAAAATAAGAACTAAGTTTTCCTTAATTTCTCTTTGTGTTATACTTGTATAGTTCTTTTCATATTAGTTATTATTATTTCTATTTTGTGCTCATCTATAAAGTTACTTTATTGTCTTGTCATGTCCAATCTACTAGAGATGTCATATATTTGTTTTATCGGTATATTCTTATTGATTAAACCGAAAAGCAAACCGTTAAAGACCAAAATCGATAAGCTAAAAATCAATATAAAATAATATCTTATTGATTTGGGTATTAATTAAGCGTATTTAGAATCTGAACACCGATAAACTAAATCGATAATAAATAAATAAAAACGAAATGGCCGATTGCACACCCCTACGTCGTACGAAATGATCCCTTTGTATTTTTCCAAAGAATAATAAAAGCATTGTCGTCAACATGAGTTAATGGTGCAATGATAGGACTGCTTAAAATTTAATCGAATTTCAATACGAGCTTGATAAAAGCATGCATTGTCTGTTTTCCTTGATGGGAGACTTGTTGGCAGCTGGTACTACAAGAAAAATAACTTTTAGTAGCAGTAAATATACACAATAACAAAGAGTGATAAAGTCTTTACCGGATAAAGTATCGCTATATATAAGCTTTAGAAACATTTACAAAATAAAGAGTGTTAAATATCGAAAAAAAATATATTTTAAGTGACAATTAAACTATTATTATTACTAAATATACTCTGAGTAAAAATGGATAGAGAAGATATTGTGTATCCATTGATTGAAGAAAGTGTAAAGAAAAGAGGTTATTGTTTACAGGTTATTATAATATCTTATGTAATCAAAAGGGTTGCTAATTTTGAATTATTTCAATCCTAGATGACTTGTTTTAATCTAATTTCCAATATATTCTTGAGTCGTGTTATCAACTTATTTAAAAATTTAAATTATTAGAAAAAGGTCATTCTTTTTAGTTATTTAATTATATTATATCCCAACAGATCTCCGATGTTTGATTTTTCATATCAACGTCGAGTTATATGAAGTATGGTAATAATGCAGCTCTTTTATTGAGTTTTGTAGGCAAAGAAGCAGCTGATAGAGTGAGTCCTGAGCTAGCTAGTAGAGAAGAAAATGAAGAATGACACTATATTTGGATGGAAATGTGGCGGGGCGGGTTGAGTGTGGGTGTGTTTAAGTATACAGGAAAATGTTTTCCTATTTACTCTTGTTTGGTTGTAATACAATTTCGAAAAAATATTTTTTGAAGCAGCTTATATTCCTAAAGATACGTCATTTGTGCATTTAGTGTTTACAACTTATGATAGGAGGAGGAATAGGACATTTTAGTTGACGTCGTTTACAAACATACACACACAAAAAAAAAACTAAGTCCTTTTTTAATATTTTTAAATTATAAGTTTCAAAAGTCATTTAATTCTTTTTTAAAATTTACATCCAATCAAATAGTGTCAGTGAGTGGCGCGGGGGTGGGGGGTGGGGGAGGGGGAGGCCTTGGGTTCAATCCCTACTCTATACTCTACTCTATCATATTCACATAAAAATAATCCGACATATTTGTAGCCACGTATTAGTAGTATCTCTATTGTTCTTAAATTTTGAGTCTGCATCTATGAATAAGAACCACATGATTAATAAATTAAAAACGAAAGAAGAGAAAGCCTTGCATGAAAAAGAAGAGCTTGTCAAGCTAGCTAAAGATGACCTGCTTGACCCCAAAAACGAAAGGACATATGAAAGACCTTTTCAAGTACGGTGCAGGCAAGTCATCCTTGGCTACCAAATAAGACTCTTCTCATCATGCTAGACTTCTCTTCTTTTAAATAAGACTTGTAACCCCGTCTCGATATTTTAACGATGACTAAAACTTCTATTTTGAAAAGATATCTTGCATAAAAGAAAAGAGCATGTCAAGGTAGCCAAGGAGACTGCCTGAAACCAAATTAAAATGTGATTAAACACATTTTAGACTATGGAGCAGGCAAGTCATCCTTGGCTACTAAACAATATGACTCTCCTCTTCATGTAAGACTTCTCTTCTTTTTCTATTGAGATGATTGATATATTGTAAGTTAGCCAACTATTTATAGCCAAATAAATTAGTACTAGTTATGAAAGAAACTATATAAGCATCTTTGACTTAATTCTTTGTTTAATTTTTTTTTTCCTTTAATAATTGCTTTGACTTTGATTTCTTAGCTACATTGTCTAATTTCCCAAAATGGAATAAGTTCTCTTCATTTGTAAAGTTTACATTTACACTCACTTTATCTCTAAGTAATTCTTTTATGGGACAAGATCAAACAAAAATTATTTTTGAAGGAAATTGTCTTTGAAATATTTATAGTTTTTTCAAGAAACTCTGATGTTCTGATCAGTTCACGCACTTTGATTAATTTCACATAATACATGTGTCTGTCAACAATGAGTACTAGGTAATTAACTATGGTCACCATGATTAGAACATATGAAAAGAAATCACCATATTTTTTCTCTTGAAAATGCAAATTAAACTATAGATAAAATAGGACATATGATTAATAAAGGGAAAAGATTCATATAGATGATATATACTAGTTTGAAATAGTTTTCATCTTGCTAGAGGACTTATAATATTGTTATATATCATTACAAGTATTAACTTATTTTCACTTTTATTTTTAGAATAAAAATCATTTACCTATCAATTGTTCTCAACTTATTTGAAACTGAGACGTATATATATATTTTTTTGTTAGGTTGTGGAGCCTGATTAACATTTGAGGCTGTACTATTTATTCTCCATTTATTCTCTGTAACAAAAAATACTCAATTTATTAATATATATACCCCACCGCCGTGAAAGTTTAGTCGTGGAATGTTACCACGAAATATTAATTTCTCTCTCTAGATCTCTCATCTCTTTCTTTCTAAAGTTCTTGTGTTCTTCATTCATCAAGTATGTGGATTCGATCCTTAACATTTTTTGGGTCTAAATTAGTATGAAATGCATGCACATTGACACTTGAAAATTAGTGCATGTATTTTCTCCTCTTTTTGTAGTTCCCAATACAACATAAAATTCGACCTTTTATAAATTATGATTGACCTTGATTATTTTGTGGGGCTGAAAAAATGGATTTGATGCCCAAATTTTATGTTTAAAGGGTATTCCTTCCAAACAATATGCTTTATCTAAAAAAAAGTCAAATATATTGATGATACAACTTTAGTCAAAATGGTATAAATTAATATGCAACTTTATCCAAATTTTCTGATAGCACATGCATGAGCACATTTTTTTTGAAATTATTTTTAGTAATTTAAATTTAAGTTTAATGATTGAAGAAAATAAATTCATTGCTCGTATTCAATATATTTCAAGTACTATTACATGCAAGTTTCGATATTGTTATAAGAAAGTCAATCAAGTCGTAAAATATACCTTAAGAAAATGTAGTATTACAAAGGCATAATACTTAAACATGACCCTTTGATTGGTTTCAATTTGTAACTATGACCTTTAATTTTGGGTGCGCACAAGTATTGAGCAAATAGACACATTCATCTTACGGCACCCTACATTGCAATTTTGTATCCTACGTAGCGTCCTGTGTGTATTATGTCAGGTAGGATACATATTGTGTCTACTTATTCAATTTTATGTAAGTTTAAGTGTCTACTTGTACACACTCAAAGTTGGACGGCATAGTTATCTGTTGAAGCAAGTTAAGGATCATGTTTATGTATTATGTCTATTACAAATAAGGAGCGGCTTATTTTTGCGTAAGTTCACCTCCATTCGATAACTATTGAACCTTACAGACTTGATCTCATACAAATGAAATTCCCGAGCTTATTCTCCCCTCAGCTTTATGTTAATTTAGGTCTTATGCCTAACTCACGGCTCAAAAGCTAGTTCAAAATTAGGAGTCCAGTCATCTCATTAACACCCAACCTCACCCCATTTCTTAGCATCTGGTGTGCGTGCATTTTTTTTTATTTTTGGAGGCCCCACATTGGGTGAAAAATGACACCTCATGACGCCCAGTACTTAGCATCTGGTGCATGAGCAATTTTGATTGTCAAGCCACCAATGGAGGCCCCACATTGGGTGAAAATCACACCCCTGCTCTGATATCATGTCTAATTAGGTCTTACGTCAAATTTACACTCCAAAAACTAGCTCAAAGAGAGGAGGATTGTCAAGCCACCAATGTAGGACTTTTGTCATTCGTATTCATTTTAATAAATTGATATATAAAGGTCCCTCTACCATAAAGATGATAATGGAAAAGAAATTATAAAGCTGAGTTAGTAGTAGATATTAGAAAGGTATGACTCCATGCAATGTGAAAGGACACATAAGAAAGAAAGAATTGAGGGAGTGGATTATAAGATGGAAAATCATTCACCAAAACAAAATGAAAAGTTCATTTATTTTCCATGTCAACAAAATAATTCTTCTTTTCTATAAGGTTGACAATTGAGTTTGCAAAAATATATAAAATAATAATTGATCCTTTAATTTGGAGAACAGTATTCACTCAATTTCAATCCAAAATCATAAAGAATATATTCCAAAATATGAGTTGAGATCCATTTGAAAGAACAAAAAAGCAAAAATAATAATAAAAAAATAATTAAGATCATAAAAGGGCAATATTATTAGTTTTTTCACTTTTTCCCCCCTTCTTGAAGCTATAAATAGAGACATTGATAGACAAACTAAATGCATCACATATTTGTACAAGTTAGATAACATTATTGAAGAGGGGTTTTATATGAAGTTGAGAGTATTATTTAGTAGCCAAGGATGACTTGCCTACTTCATTTGATATATAGTTTAAAATAATAATATTGACAATATTTGTCATTTGGTCGTAGGCAAGTTATCCTGGCTATCTTGACATGCTCGTAATTTTTCATGTAAGACCTTATCTTCTATGGCTTTTTTTTTCTCTGATCGGATCATGCTTATCTTTTATGTATAATTTCGATCTATTGCTCTAATTTCTTGAAACTTATAAGTTTTTTTTATTCAATTTCATGTTAAAAAATGATGCAAATATATTTTTTTTACAGTGAAATATTATCATACATGCACTAATAAAATATTATCATACATGCACCAATAATATATGTATGATTAAATTATTTTTATGCATATATATTAGATGTTAAACTGCTTTAACTTCTTTTTATGTTTATTTTTTCATACTTTAAACTTCTTAATTAAACAAAAATTTCAACTTTGTCACTGTATCATAGATACTGAAATTTTATTAATATTTAATAATAAAGGTTCTATGACCTCTTCACCTAAGTATTCTTGGATTAACATAACTTGTTCCTCAATGAAATAGTTTAGTAAAGCAATAAAAATTTTTTAGTGAATTACCATCATTATAACTCCTTTTAAGGCCAAAAATATTTGAGATATGTAAAAAGAAAATTAAAAAAGAACATTACTATTCAAAATGCACTATACATTAAAAGGGGTAAAAAGGTAGTTAATGACCAATATCTTACTTTACCAAGTTACATTGTGATGAAATGGTTAAATTTCTTTATTTTTAATCAAATCTTTCGATTTCAAGCTCTTAGAAATGAAAAGAATCTCATTAGAAATGTTACTCCTGCAATACGTAAATTCAAATTTAATCAAAACTCGAGTCTCAGTGTGAATAGCAATACTCACGTGTGGACCAAAAAAATATTGATACATGAGAAAGTTTGTCAAAATATTTCTTAAAAGACTTGTTTCTATTTGAAATGTTATTGATCAACCTAAGTTTGCTCCCAATTGATGTAATTTATTATTGCTAAATTTAAAATATTTGATCGAATTGATTAGCTTTTTCATTTGTTATATCTAGAGTCGTCATTATTAGAGAGATAAAATAAAATACTAAGCTAAGACCAAAGTAGTAAAATGTAAGTACAAAGTTGTGTGTGCAAATAACAAGTTCTAATAAGTTTTAACCAAAGTTACAATTAATTTTTACAAGAAGTCAAACTTAAATTATATATCATCAAATTTATACTAAAACCAACAAAATAATAAGAGACACCATATGCAACAAAAATTATGTCGAAACCTACAATCAAATTTTTTTCCTATATCGATCAGATCTTCAGTTTCAGATTCACCATTACAATTTTTTCTATTTGCGCGATTCTCTCTATGTACATTGATAATGTTGTCCAAGAGTATGTCTATTTTATTACGAGCTTTCATAAGTTTAGATTTCATCCCACTAATCCCATGTAGAAATGTTTTCGATGAACAGTGAAAATGAAATGATGTGATGAAACTCCATATCTTAGTAGAAGAAATTAAAGAAAGGTAAAAGTCGATTTGATGTATTTTTCATGTTTTGATGGTTACTTATATAGTGGCTACACTTTTATGTGGAACACACTTGGAATGTTAATTTTTCTTTGGAGGGGAGTTAAATAAGTAATTTGTACTTGATGGTGTGTTTGACGGAAAAAAATGTTTTTTTAGAAAATATTTTTAAAAAAAATAAATGATCAATATTTTATTTTTTTTTCTAGTGTTTGGTATGCAAGTGATAATCTAACAAAATTTTACGGGAATAAAATAGAGTGCGGAGTGGAAAAGATATAACGTCATTATGTTTTCAAACATTTTGACAAATCAAACATAAGAATTTTGATTTTATTTAGATCATAGTAAATTTTCTTTCAGGTTATCGATTCGCTTTTTAGAATAGTATACATGTAATTATTTTTTAAAATTTTTAATTAGCTAACATACATGTGTCCAGTTTTTAATTAATTAAGTGGGGAAAAAAAGTTCTAAGTGAAAAAATGTTGAAAATTAAAAAGGTGAATAGTAATGTATATTGTTCAACGATGCATACATAAAAAGACACATAATTTTCAAAACAAATTTAATAATCATTGAATAAAATAAAACATTTCGAAATGTATGCCATTTTGTTTCATCAATGATGATGTAATAGCTCCGGAAATATTTTTAATGTTGAAAATACGTTCGGTGGTAAAAATTTATACTCTGAGAATTAAGTTCAGATAAACCTGATAATTTAAGATATGTATTTCGTTGAATTTTTATTTTAACATGAGTAATTTATAGGCACGGTGTACTAACAATTTTGAAATTATTAATCACATGACAAAATAACAAAATTGACAAAAAAAAATATAATACCAAAGGAAAATTAAATCAAAGGAAATTAAGTTTTGATAAAAAAAAATTAATTGACTTTTGTCCCCCAAAATGAAATTAAATCAAAGTCAAGGGAAAATCTTTACTTGATTTGAAATGTATGCCATTTTGTTTCATCATTGATAATGTACTAAGGAAAACATAAACAAATACGAAATAAAATGTGAGATAATTTTATTTTATATCAAATTGATTAGTTTTTTACGATACAAGTAATTTTGAGTTTATATATGCCACATGATACTCAATATGTGATAATATTTTTGAGATTATTAATCACGATTTATAGAATAAAATAACGAATTTCTTGGGAAGTTCAATTTTTCAGAAAAAATTACGTTAAAATTGAAGATTAATATTTCAATCTTGAAAAAGCAACCAAGAAAAATAATTAAGATAATTAAAATGACAAGTGCTAACAAAAACACCAATGTAATGTAGAAAATTATAATGTTTTTGTTGTATTTTTATGAAGACAAAGTCACATGAATGTTAGTTGTTACAAGACAAATTTAAAAAGAACTTGATTTTACATCAGATGAAATAAACAATATTCATATTCAATTTTTACATCAACTTATATGATTAAATCATATGTGATAATTGATAAATTGGAAAACAGCAACTATTTGGAGTTAATTTTCACTTGTGAAATTTTAAACTTCAGAGTTGGTGGTCTATAGTAATCGTTTTCTCCACTAGCAATCAAGTTCACAAAACGGAGTTTATAAAACCCCTGTATATTAATAATAAAGAAAACTTTCGATTTCAAGCTCTAAAAAATGAAAAAAAAAATCTAATTAGAATCGTTAGTCCTGCGATATGATAATTTAAATTTAATCAAGAGTCGAACCTTAATATGAATATTTATACTCAAGTGTGGACAAAAAAAAATATTGATACATGAGAAATTTTGACAAAATATTTTTTTTTTAAAAACTTGTTTCTATTTGATATGTTATAGATATGGCAGCACTAGTATTCCATCACGATTAAAGCCTAAGTTTGATCCCAATTGTTGTAATTTATTATAGTATAATTTAAAATAATTAATCGAACGGATCGATTTTTTCATTTGTTATACCTACCGTCGTCATTATTAGAGAGATAAAATAGAGTACTAAGCTAAGACCAAAGTAATAAAATGTAAATACAAAGTTATATGTGCAAATAACAAGTTTAAATAAATTTTAGGGAAAATGCACAAGTACCCCCTCAACCTATGCCCGAAATCCCAGAGACACACTTATATTATATTAAGGTTCTATTACCCCTGAACTTATTTTATAAGTAATTTTCTACCCCTTATTAGCTTACGTGGCACTAGTTTGAAGAAAAAAAAGTCAATCATCGTTGGGCCCACAAGATAGTGTCAATTATTAATAAAATAAGTTCAGGGAGGTAATAAAACCTTAGTATAGTATAAGTATGTCTCTGAGATTTCAGGCATAGGTTGAGGGGGTACTTGGGCATTATCCCTAAATTTTAACCAAAGCTACAATTAACTTTTTACTTGAAGTCAAACTTAAATTATAAATCATCAACTTTATACTAAAACCAACAAAATAATAAGAGACACCATATGCAACAAAAATTATGTCGAAACCAACGATCAAATTTGTTTTTCCTATATAATAAGCATCACTAATAATTGAAAGCACAAGTCAAAATTTAACCACCATGAAAAGTCATCCATTTATTTGATCTATTATTCATCATGATATACATGACCAGTGTAGTACCTTTAGATTCAAACGAATCCATACATATTGTATTACAAACTCAAACTCAGTAACTATGTGTAGCGATCAAGTAGAGATCATTCTCTCTTCTCGCAGTTATTCCATTTGATTTTGTCATGTCGAATTCCCTCAAATTAGTTCCCTGTGGAAGTTTCCAATCAAACTTGTAAAGCAAATAGGCTAATGGTAGAGTAACAAGAGCTATACCAAAATGTATTCCTGGACACATTCGTCTTCCTGCTCCAAACGGCAGAAACTGAAAGTGATTTCCCGTAAATTCAATAGAACTATTCTCGAATCTCTCCGGTACGAAACATTCGGGTTTTTCCCAACTCATGGGATCCCTTCCTATTGCCCATACATTAACCAAGACTTTACTTTTCAACGGTACAGTGAATCCATCTATCTTTGTTTCCTCCCTACATTCTCGAGGGACCAATAAAGGAGTTGGAGGATGTAACCTGAGCGTCTCTTTGATTACCAACTTTAGGTAATTAAGCTTTTCAAGGACAGTATCGTCATTACACGTTTCCTTTCCTTTAAAAACTTCTCTCACTTCGGCTTGTGCTTTGGCTATGACACTCGGACTCTTCATCATTTCTGATAATGCCCAAATAGCGGTTGAACATGGCGTTTCTGACCCTGCTACAAACATGTCCTGCACCATATATATTAAATAGACCATAAGCTAAAAGGAAAACAATTGTATCGAAAAATGAAACTTACAAGAATAATTGCTTTGATATTGTCATTTGTTAGAGGGAATTGAAATTCGCCACTCTCCATCACTCTTAAAAAGACATCGATCAGATCTTCAGTTACAGACTCACCGTTGCAATTTTTTCCATTCGCGCGATTCTCTCTATGCACATTGATCATGTTGTCCAAGAGCATGTCTACTTTAGTACGAGCTTTCATAAGTTTAGATTTCATCCCACTAATCCCATGTAGAAATGTTTTCGAAGGGTACAGATCAGCCAACTC